TGGGCAGGTTACATAGAATACTCATCTTTAATATGAGGGTAATGATACAGATATTACTGAGTAGTTGTGAAGATTAAATGTGAGGCAGATGCACATTATTAGAATAAGCATATCAATATATAACTACAAACTGAGAATTACCATAAAGGAAATATACAGAAAGTTGTAAGAACGTATGATGAAGAAATGGATCTCATTTTAGTAGGGTTGGAAGGCTAGGGAAAGCATGAAGAGGGATTACCCAGTGAAGGCTTTTACTTCTAGGAAGAGAGAACAGCATGTAGAAAAAGTCTCAGGCAAGAAGAGCAAGCAGGTTCAAAGAACTGAACGAAGGCAAGTATGACTGAAGTGGTGCGACTGAGGGGAAGACTGGCAAGAGAAGCTAGGACAAGAGACAGGGGCCAGATTAAGTGGAGTCACAAGACAATTTTGGTGTTTCTCCAAATAAGTCTATTAAAAGCTTTTAAGAAAGTGACATGGCCAGATTTGAATTTTTATGTCACAATGGCTACAATATAGAGAACAAATTACAAAAGGAGCAAAAGCGTTTCTCTATAATGACAAGCTAGGAGGATTTTTCAGTGGCTTTGGTGAGGGTTGCTGGAAGTGGGATGTGGAGATGAGAACAGGTTTGACAGCAAAAATTTTTTCCACTTCACTCAGTGGTTGACACTAACCAAATTCCAAATACCTGATAGGTCCGTAAACCAAAATCTACCTTTTCTCTGGTCTTATCATCTTCAATCTTTCTAACATCACTTGATACCACTGACTCCTGCTTCCTAGAAATCATGTGAATTCCTTAATACCTGCCAATCCTCCTATCAGAGAGCCTGACTGTCACTGGATCCCACCCTTCTTCCTCTGATTCTGTAGTTTTTTATTATAGGGATTGATCTCATCTACTTCCTTAGCCTCACATAGCATCTCTAAAAGGATGTAATCTAAAATTTAATCTCCACAGTAAGCTATAAAAAGAAATAAGTAATTTCTATTTACACTACTCAGGAGAGATTACTAGTACATAAAGTAAAATAAAACAGGAAAAGCATGTGTGTGTAATGCTACTGCTTATTCAAGAAAGATGGTAATATGGTTTGGATCAGTGTGCCTGCCCAAATCTCATGCTGAACTGTAATCCCCAATGTTGGAGGTGGGGCCTGCTGGGAGGTGGGTGGATCACAGGAGTGATTTACCCCTTGGTGCTGTTCTCATGATAGTGATTGAGTTCTCACGAGATCTAGTTAAGTGTGTGGTGCCTCCCCACTCTCTCTTTTTCGCTCCTGCTCCATCCATGTGGATGAACCTGCTCTCTTCACCTTCTGCCATGATGGTAAGCTGAGCAGATGCATAATGCTTCCTGTACAGCCTGCAGAACCATGGGCCAATTAAACCTCTTTTCTTTATAAGTTACCCAGTCTGATATTTCTTTATAGCAAAGTGAGACTGAGGAGTGGGGCACTGCTATAAAGATACCTTAAAATGTAGAAGCAGCTTTGGAACTGCGTAAGGGGCAGAATTTCAAACAGCTTGGAGGGCACAGAAAAAGGCAGGAAGGTGACAAAAATTGTGTCCTGGAGATTTGTTAAATTGTTGTGACCAAAATGCTGATAGTAATATGGACAATGAAGTCCAGGTTGAGGAGGTCACAGATGGAAATAAACTTATTGGGAAATGCAGCAAAGGTCACTTTTGTTACACCTTGGCAAAGAGCTCGGTTGGACTGTGCGCCTGCTCTACGGATCTGTGGAACTCTGAATTTGAGAGATGATTTAGAGTATCTGGTGGATGAAATTTCTAAGCAGCAAAGTGTTCAAGATGTGATCTGGTTGCTTCTAACAACCTATGCTCATATGCATGAGCAAAGAAATGACCTGAATTTGGAACTTATATATTTAAAAGGGAAGCAGAGTATAAATGTTTGGAAAATTTGCAGCTTGGCCATGTGGTAGAAAAGAAAAGCCCATTTTCGGGGGAAGAATTCAAGAAGGCTGCAGAAACTGGGCATAGGGGGAAAGCCTTGAAGGCATTTCAGAGACATTCTGAGCAGCCACTCTTGTCACAGGCCCAGAGGCCTAGAAGGACTGAATGGTTCTGCAGGCCAGGCCAGGCTCAAGGGCTCACTCCCCCGAGAAGCCTCAGGACACTGCTCCCTGTATCCTAGCCTCTCCAGTTCCAGCCATGGCTCAAAGAGGCCCAGATATAGCTCAGGCCGCTGCTTCACAGGATGCAAGACATAAGCCTTGGCAGCTTCCACATGCTGTTAAGCCTACAGGTACACAGAATCCAAGAGGTGAGATTTGGGAACCTCTCTCTGCCTAGATTTCAGAAGATTTACGGAAAGGCCTGGATGTCCAAGCAGAAGCCTGCTGCAGGGGCAGAGCCTTCACAGAGAACCTCTACTCGGGCAGTGCAGAGGAGAAATGTGGGGCTGGAGCACCCACACAGAGTCCCCACTGGGGTCCTCCCAAGTGGAGCTGTGAGAAAAGTGCCACTGTCCTCCAGAACCCAGGAGGGCAGATCCACCAGCAGCTTGCACCTTCAGTCTGGAAAAGTCACAGATACTCAATGTCAACCCATGAGAGCAACCTGCGAGAGCAGCTGTGGGGGCTGAACCCTGCAAAGCCACAGGTGTTAAGTACAGCTGCCCAAGGCTTTGGGAGCCCACCCCTTGTACCAGTGTGTCCTGGATGAGAGATGTGAAGTCAAAGGAGATTATTTTGGAGCCTTAAGATTTAATGACCGCGCTGTTGGGTTTTGGACTTGCACAAAGCCTGCAGCCCCTTTCTTTTGGCCGATTTCTCCATTTTGGAATGGGAGTATTTACCCAATGCCTGTACCCACAATGTATCTTGCAAGTAACGTAACATGTTTTTGACTTTACAGGCTCACGGGAGAAGAGACTTGCCTTGTCTTCTCATCTCAAATATGAGACTTAGGACTTTTTGAGTTAATGCTGAAATGGTTAAGACTCTGGGTGACTGTTGGGAGGCATGATTGTGTTTTGAAATGTGAGAAGGACATAAGATTTGGGAGGGGCTGGGGTAGAATGATATGGTTTAGATCTGTGTCCCTGACCAAATTTCATGTAGAATTGTAATCTCCAATGTTGGAGGTCGGACCTGATGGGAAGTGACTGGATCATGGGGGTGGATATCCCCCTTGGTGCTGTTCTCATGGTAGTGAGTTCACATGGAGATGTGTTCATTTAAAAGTGTGTGGCGGCCGGGCGCAGTGGCTCAAGCCTGTAATCCCAGCACTTTGGGAGGCCGAGACGGGTGGATCAC